CAATGCGCCAGCAGCGTCACGTGACTTCCGCTGTCTAATATAATTTTACTTAATACAACGTTGAGTTTTTCTTTAGGCTAATGTACACTTAGTATGAATAATAATACTTAAAGAGGTAACTGCAATGTAGTTGGATTCCAGCTAAGATGAGCCTCATCTCGCTGATCATGGCATACTTACTGGAGGTTGGAAAGATCAGCAAGGTGGCTTCCCCAGAGTGAGGTTCATCCATTTTACTCTGGGTGGGTTGACCGTTACCATTACCCAAACTGGGGCAGATGGAGCGTGTAAGTTTTGAAGGTAAGGAGATAGTGCAAACTCAGTTAGAGTTAGTATCACCGACAAGTCTAAAAGAAGTAAATTTACTCACTAGAATGTAGGTAGTTTCATGAGAGAAAGACACAAAGAGATAACCTTACTTGCTACAATGTAGATGGTTTCAGGCTAGAAAATGTATATTTAGAATAACAAAGAAGACATAAAAGTAACCTTAATGTATTATTGATGGTTTAAGGATGAGAAATGCGGACTTAACAGCAGAGACGCAGAAGCAAAGTAGTGTCTTACTCAAAACAGTGTTGTTAGTTTTAGACTATAAGAAGTAGACTTTGTTGTGACAGACCAGACTTTAAAAGGTAACCTTTCTGACACAGTCTTGATAGTCTTAGACTAGAAAATGTAGACTTTATTATGACAGACTAGACTTTAAAAGGTAACCTTTCTGACACAATCTTGATAGTCTTAGACTAGAAAATGTAGACTTTATTATGACAGACTAGACTTTAAAAGGTAACCTTTCTGACACAATCTTGATAGTCTTAGACTAGAAAATGTAGACTTTATTATGACAGACCAGACTTTAAAAGGTAACCTTTCTGACACAATCTTGATAGTCTTAGACTAGAAAATGTAGACTTTATTATGACAGACTAGACTTTAAAAAGTAACCTTTTAGTATGTCCAATGACACTTCAAGATGTAACCGTATTCAGTACAATGTTGAGGATTTCATGCTATGAAATGTAGACTTAGTATGAAAGACCAGACTCAAAGGAGAAACCTTACTGAATACAATGTTGATGGCTTAAGGCAAATACATTTAGAGGTAATATTACTGACTAGATTGAAAGTGACGTTACGAACTACAGTGTTAATTTTTTCAGACTAGCCAATATAGACGTAATATGACCAACTAGATTAAAATAAATAACATTACTCACTACAACGTTGATAGTTTCAGGAATGAAACTGTAGACATAGTACGACAGACCAGACTTAAGAAAAGTAGACTTACTGTCACAATGGTGATTATTCCAGCGTAGAATATGTAAGTTTAATATATCTGATCAGAGTTAAAGAAGAAACCTTACGTAGTACAATGCGGATTATTTTTTCAGGCTCAAAACTTTAGATATAATATGACAAGAAAATGTAGATATAATATGACAAGAAAATGTAGATATAATATGACCGACCAGATTAAAAAACAACAACTCAATGCAATATTTATGATTTCAGGCTAGAAAATTTTCATTTGGTATGTCTGATCAAACTTAGGTAAGCAATGTTACGTTGTACAAGGTTGATTTTTCTTCAGGCTAAAAAATATACCCTTAGAACAAATAATGAGACTTAAAAAGATCACTTTAATAACCGTAATGTTGTTGGTTTCCGGTTAGGAATTGTCGACTTAGTATCACCAACAAGCCTAAAATAAATAACTTTTCTCACTACAATGTTTTTGGCTAGAAGATGTCGGCTTACTATAACTGAGGAGACTTGAAGATGTAAATTTACTCACTGCAACATTGATGATCTCAGACTAAGAAATATAGAATTGGTACATGCTGAATCTTTACTATGACATTCAAAGAGCCCATGCATTAAAAATTACAAGCAACATGCTTTAAAGTTAATTAAACAGTCAACCGATTTGACTGTATCACATCGTTTAAGTTTATGATACACTTTTCCAGCCTCTTACAATGGAAATAACCATATTTGTTACCAAAGACCTTATTCACCTGAGAAATGTGTTCATCAGCATGCTCTTAAACATATTTAGAACACTAAAAACTAAGAATAAAAAACATGGAACTAATCAAATAATTTTGAATCATTCATACATGACTGTGCTTCATCTTCCAGTATTTTAAGCTTTTGCTATTCGCGAATGAACTCTTGCTTGGTTACTTCTGCCTCGCATTTAGATTTGTTCTTCTTGACTGTTGTTTTTTTTATCCAGAAGCATGTCCTGATATCTGGCCTGTGCTTCACTGCATTACTTGAGTAATCTTTTGTCGACCTCGAATTCGTGAACTTCAGTGCCTTGAAATACCAAATTATCATAAACCATACACTGAGCAATTAGTTTCTTTCTTCATGATTGGTACCATGATATCCTCGTCTACAGAAAACCCTCTCCCCACACATGCTTGTCCTAAAAGGACAATATCATGAAATAATTGAAACTTATTGTTTGACCCTTTAATTATATATCAAGTGATTATTTCAAAGATTTTCGGCGATTATTTAATATGCAAGACAAAATATTTCATTTTACACATGACACTTTTATAGTTTTATCTCATGTTTTACAAAAGTGGATGGGGCTCCAGCAAGTGTCTTACAAAACATTGTCTGAAAGAAGCTATGAACAGTTTCGAAATATATTCCATACTTTCACTAGATTTCTGTACACACAGAAGATTGGAGGTGTGTTTGCCAGTGATCAATGCCTAATAGGGTTAGAAAGTCTCAAAGTTTTATGTAATTTTAATCTTCTATAGTAAATCTATGAATAAACAGTAAGTCATTCATTTAGTTGTGGCAAAATGAATTAGTAAAGATGTTAAATATGCAAAATTATGGTTTTAACATAAATAAATCTAGACATTAATGATGTAATCATATGTGGAAGTATAGTAACTTTGTCACAGCATATTTGTTTAAATCCTATGGACAGTCATTAAAATAATGGTTTAAACATAATTAAATATAGACATTGATCATATGTGGAAGTGTAGTATGTGCCTTTGTAAAACTCCTGTAAGATAAAACTATAAAGTATCATGTGTAAAATGACATATTTTGTCAAGTTATAGCATAAAGTCAAACTAGTGAAAGTGTAAGCTTAATTATTGCATAATATTTAATAATTTAACGTTTTATTGATGACATAATCATACGTTGAGACACATTGAAAAACAATTTACTTTAGTTTGAAGTTAAGCACAAAGCTACACAATGAGCTATCTGTTCTCTGCCCACCACAAGTATCTAAACCCAGTTTCTAGCATTGTAAGTCCGCAGACATACCACTGTGCCACTGGGGAGCATTTGTTTTAGTAACACGATGTATATGTAGAACACCATTCACCTTTGTAAAACATAAGATAAAACTATAAAAGTATCATGTGTGAAATGAAATGTTTAGTCTTGCATATTAAATAAGCACTGAAAATCTTGGAAATAATCACTTGATTTATAATTAAAGAGTCAAACAGTAAGTTTAAATTATTTCATGATATCGTCTTTTCAGGATGATTTAAATATAAATAGTCAGGAAATGTATGGAGCTAATAAATTAGTGTCAAGCATCCTTTTTCAGGACATATAATTGGTCAGGAAATCTATAGAACTAATGAATTAGTGTTAAATGTCCTTTTTAGGATGATTTAAATATAAATGTTCAGGAAATGTAGTTAACTAATAAATAAGTGATTTAAATTGGTTGTTTAAATATATTCATGTTGAGACATGTTGATCAAATTTATGCTGGTCCCACTCCATGGAACTATAATGTCATTGCGGCTAGCAACACATCCTTTATTTCGTGGAACTATTACATAATCATCCATCATGGCCGCCTGTTATGGCGGTCTAGCAATGCGCCCCTGGTGAAAATTTGTGGAACTATGACGTCATTCTTTCATACTCCATGGCGGTCTAGCTACACGTCCATAACAAGGCGCCCTCTGGTGACACTTTGTTGAACTAGGACGTCATCGTTTTTGGTGACATCACCCCCTTCCTGGTCTGACACACGTGTGGTGCCCTCTAATAGCATGCCATGCGAGTGGTGCCCTAACTACTGCCCTCACATTTTAAGAAAGAGGATATTATGAATGTATATATAGTTTTCGTTATCGTCATGTAAAGTGAAAGAATAGATAAATTTGTTTTTTGCTGACTGTCAAGTTCAGTGACATACAAAATCTGTTCTTTGTTAACTAAGTTAGATTAAAGGATAGTGAACATACAACTTATTTCGGTTATAAAGTATATTCTGTAATGGTAAACATTGTGCAGTAAACGGGATGGATTTATAACTTGTGAAAGAAAAGATATGTACACCATATTTTTTATTGTAAGAAATAATATAAGCAACAAAATTGAAATATTTTATCAATAAAATTATATTTTTATCACAGTTATTTTACAGATTTTGTTCTTAAAATTTTCAAAGGTAGAATGCACACACATTATTTTTGATAAATTGTAGATAAAGTAATATTTTTTCATAACTTGAAGTTTAGTAAATAAGTGTTTCACAGTGTGTGTGATACTTGTTAAATCTATGATTTTAATTACATACAGTGACGATAGCATATTGGGCTATAGGTAAATATGTCAGTTTTAAGTGATAGGGAAGGGATATAATGAAGGTCAAAATATTTAATGCCCAGCACGACGGGAACAGTCAAATTAGTTATGGATTTCAAGTGCGTGTATATTATTATTGAAGTTTTATTAATAGATGTTTCAGTATGTTAGGTCTGTGATTTTACTTACGTATGCTAATGATATCTGCTTAAAACGTATTGGTCTATGATGAAACTTGAGTTTTATAAGTTTTATATAAGAAATATAAATGGAGTCTTGTATTAGATGTTTAAACGTATTTGTTAGAAACTGATATTCATGGTGTGTAATTTATCATAAAAGACACATAATTATCTGGTCTTTGATCTTTCGTCTGAACAGAATAAAGTTACTATTTGTTATTGAATTATTAACGTAAGATGAATATAAATTATATTTTCCAAATATTTCTAAACTGACCCTGTTGAACATTTGACCAATTGCTGTATTTCGCACACAGTTTAATTTTATTGAGTAGTGAGCGTAAAATGCTTTTGTTGTAAAATAGGATAAACTCGGCAAAATACAAGAATTGTACACTAACCTTTTCGTTTATACACTATATAAAAAAATTACATAATGAAATAAACAAGTAAGAATTGTACACTAACATTTTCGTTTATACACTATATTAAAAACTTACATAATGAACTAAACAAGTAAGAATTGTACACTAACCTTTTCGTTTATACACTATATTAAAACTTACATAATGAACTAAACAAGTAAGAATTGTACACTAACCTTTTCGTTTATACACTATATTAAAACTTACATAATGAATTAAATAAGTAAGAATTGTACACTAACCTTTTCGTTTATACACTATA